TTTTAATAAAAAAAAATTGATTCTTATTATTTATTTTATTGAATAACTTATATGTTTCTTCCTATAACATGCAGTGATTAAATAAACCTTGATAATCACCTCGGATAGAATGATCCGACATCTAATTTTTAGCACATAAAAAGATTAATGTTTATTATACCTCGGAGAGCACACAAACATTCATTTCTCACCCAAAAACATTAAAGCAATAATTATAAGAGAATAGACTTCATTGAAAATTAGAAATAAGTTAATTTCTTTGTCCTCTGTCTTGGTAGTTATATATTCATTTTTGGTAATAAATGATATTGATTGTCTCACATCAAGAGAATATATTCAAGTCTAAAATAGTTATAAGCCCGTTAACCATTATCAATTTGTAATGACTTAATTATGTTTTTAGTTGGATTTAACTTTTTTTAATTTGTAATTATCAGTCATTCAATGACTATTTATAGTTTAAGCCTACTAATGAACAATAAAAATATTAAACACATCAGTTTATTTTGTTTTATTTAAGTCATATTTGATGAAAATATGAATCCATCCTTAGCTTGGAAGAAATAACATCTTTATCCTCTTTCTTGGTAGTTGTATATTCATTTTTGGTAATGAATGATATTTATTGTCTCACACCAAGAGAATATATTCAAGTCTAAAATAGTTATAAGCCCGTTAACCATTATCAATTTGTAATGACTTAATCATGTTTTTAGTTGGATTTAACTTTTTTTAATTTGTAATTATCAGTCATTCAATGACTATTTATAGTTTAAGCCTACTAATGAACAATAAAAATATTAAACACATCAGTTTATTTTGTTTTATTTAAGTCAGATTTGAAGAAAATATGAATCCATCCTTAGCTTGGAAGAAATAACATCTTTATCCTCTTTCTTGGTAGTTATATATTCTTTTTTGGTAATGAATGATATTTATTGTCTCACATCAAGAGAATATATTCAAGTCTAAAATAGTTATAAGCCTGTTAACCATTATCAATATGTAATGACTTAATTATGTTTCTAGTTAGATTTAACTTTTTTAATGTGTAATTATCAGTCATTCAATGACTATCTATAGTTTAAGCCTATTTATGAACAATAAAAATATTAAAAACATCAGTTTATTTTGTTTTATTTAAGTCAGATTTGAAGAAAATATGAATCCATCCTTAGCTTGGAAGAAATAACATCTTTATCCTCTTTCTTGGTAGTTGTATATTCATTTTTGGTAATGAATGATATTTATTGTCTCACACCAAGAGAATATATTCAAGTCTAAAATAGTTATAAGCCCGTTAACCATTATCAATTTGTAATGACTTAATCATGTTTTTAACTTTTTCTAATTTGTAATTATAAGTCATTCAATAACTATCTATAGTTTAAGCCTACTAATGAACAATAAAAATATTAAGAACATCAGTTTATTTTGTTTTATTTAAGTCATATTTGAAGAAAATATGAATCCCTCCTTAGCTTGGAAGAAATAACGTCTTCATCCTCTTTCTTGGTCCTTTAAGGTGGTGTGGAAATGAGTGCATCCGAACGATAAAAAAAATCTCTCCGGCGGGGAATCGAACCCCGGTCTCCCGCGTGACAGGCGGGAATACTAACCACTATACTACCGAAGACTCTGAGAGTTGTCTTTTAAATTTGGTATAAGAGCTCCACTTACTTATTCATGGAGTCTTAGTATTTCTTCGGTTATTGATAAGTTTTTGTTTAAAAACCATTCTTTCTATTAATACTTTTTTTCTTATTTAAAATCTCCTGTAACTTGATAAATATCCGAAAAATATGCCTTATATGAATTTTTTTTCTTTCTTTTTCGAAATGTTCAGTTGTTTTCTTATAGAGAGAAAGTATTCACGTCATTAGAGTCATTGTGCAATGCCTGATAAAAATAAAAACCAACTTCTCCTACTCTAAATGTAAGAAAGTAGTGGATCATTTGCAGCATAAGTTGATTGGATTCTTACAAAAAATTGTAATGTATATGAGGAGTTAATAACATGGAATAATAAATGCTCCAATCAATTTTCTTCAATGTGATTTAATGTTTACTCCAAAAGTATCAAAAATAATCATCTGAAATTAAATTAGAACTTGAAAGTTTATTAGAAGTGACTGAATTTGATAACATGGTATTTCGATTAAAGCCACGCTCGAAATGGAATATCAAATCAATTATAATAGCTCCTGAAGATTTTTTATTACAACAGGATTTTCTCATCAAGGATTGTAGCCACTGACCGTAAAACTTAGACAGTCATTTACTTGGAACAAAGATGCCGACATAAAAAAATAATTTAAGATCATAGAAAAAGAATTCATTACGAATTACTACAGGTAAGATTTATGATATTTTATCAGACAATTTGTCAACATACATCGCAAATATTTAAGAAATTAATCATATCAATACTTACTATAAAAATTTATAGATGAAGACAGTAAAAAAAAGAACTAATAAATCGGCAATAGTATATTACTCACTACGGGACGAAACTGAGCTATATCGTACCACGTGTAAAATTGTAACCCTGAGCTGAGGGTTGAAGTTCAGGTGAGAGTGGCAAACACGTAGTATGATGACAAAAAGAAATTATTGTAGTATAAATTATAATCGATCAACTGTATTCATAATCGACTATGCATTAGTGGTTAATCAGCAGGATAACTTGTGCAACAAAATATTCATCTTCGTTACACTACTTCGATTGACAAGTAACTGGTATAACGAACATAAAAATTTTTATCAATTTAACTGTTATTGATTCTTTCATTTATCAGCATTATATATTGAATTCAAAATTGACGACATTATTTGAAAGTTATAAATTATCATTTATTATATTAAAATTATTACTCGAACTCAATCACCTAGAAGATGTACTTTTTTACACATGATATGATTGATGATTGAATTACACTTTAGAAAAAGCTAAAATAATGAAAGACATTTAGAAAGAGTTTTAAAAATATCTTTTTTTGTTTATTTTAGCGCAAACAATTCGTAAAGGTCCTTTTAATGTTTTTGAGTTTGTTATGGCACTAACTATACAAGACTTAATTGAAAATATCAATAATTAATAAAGATATTTATATACTTATAATTCAACAATTAGGCAAACATAAAACAACAAATTAATGGTAAGAATGATATAAAAGGATCCCATTCATTTATCATTATTTCTTGTTTCTAATTTTTCGAGCAATAAATCCTCAATTTTATGTAAAAAAAAGCCTTAATGTATTTTATTTTATAACCGAGAATTCTGTTTAATTATTATCACACCTTAAAAATGGTATGGAAAAAAATAACAGCTGTCACTCAACTCCAACGACTTTCTAGAATGCATTAACTGCTCATTGACAACATCAACGCTCACGTCCATTGTTTCGGCTAATTCGAACATTCAAAAAGCCAAACGTTATTATGAATTCAGTTAATTAATTTTTTTTATAATCGTTAATGTGCTACTCAATTTCACTAAGCCATGAAACAAATAAAATGTAGATTTAAACAAAAATGATAATAATTAAATAATACATAATCCTTATCTAAATTAATGAACTGTACATTAAACATTAAAAAAAATTGCTCAACTTTTTAAATAATAATCGTTTTGAAAATAAAACCTCAAACCAAACGTTTCATTTTTATGGGCTTATTAAAGACCATAGTAAAATAATTTAAAGAAATACTGATTTGAATAAATTCAATTTTAAGAGACTGGCCTTACTTATAATTTCCTACTATAATAGATTTAAAAATTTATGGTAAACAGAATTATGAATTAGAATAATGAAAAAACGGGGAGTGGATTACGTAACGGTATACGGAACTTGGCCTGATGAGAAACACTTTCGTCATGGTTATCAGGTGCCAGAAAGACACTAAAAGAAATAGCGAGTAGAGCGTAATAAAAAGTAATACTTTTGTCCTACATTTCGTACAATCGTCATTGAAAATTAAAAAGTAAAATATTAGTATGATAAAATAAATTGTTTTATGAGGATGTTAATAGTTTAATATTTCGGAATTGAAATACACCCATTGAGTCAATTTCTTGTGTTACTCTTCATCTAGTGTATAATTTTATACAATTTACAAATAAAATAAATTATAGTATTTAATTTATTTATCCTGAAATAAGAAATTAGAGTATTTTAGAAGAAATATTTGATAACATTTTCTAACATGATATCTAAATGAACAATTATGAATATGTTCCTTTGAATTTAGATGCTAATTTAAATAAAAGGTGTATGATGATCATTGAAAGTACATGCATAAGGTGGCACAGTGATCATACCGGAAGAAAATTTCAACCAGTCTGCTCCCCGAAGCGAAGAACCGGGCGCGGACTTCTCGCGTGTGCATCGCAATCCTCAACGTGAAGAATAAAAAAAAAAAAGAAAATATTTGACCGCCTACATCGTGGCACAGTCAAGACGCACGATTAACGGAACACTGTAACCGTATATGGTGGAGAGCATAGAATTGTAATTTCTTGTTCACTGTACTACACGGATTATATGTACTTATATGTGTATTATTATGAGTCTTTAAAAAGTGCAAAATATTATAACAGATTCATCAGAAAATAAATAAAACTTTCATTCTGCTTACACTTGTCTTAATACTTTGAAGGATTGTTTTGATTTCATGATGTTCAAAACATTATTGTGTTTGTGACGTAGTATGTAGAATAGTTTTATATATAATGATTGATTCTCTTATTGAAAGTTTGAATGAAGTTAAATGGATGATAGAATATATTTCAAAATAAAAAAATATATTTTAGAATGTTTTCTACCGTCATATTCTTTGTTGCTAAAGAGTATAAGCAAAAATCAAAATAATTTTAAATGTCAGTCACACATATACATATAAGGTCGGTTGATGCATTAGAAAAAATTATTCTTTCCATTTTTCAAGCATTCAAATCGCCGTTAGCTAAAGATCTCGAAAATAAACTAAAGACTCACCGTCTTGTGTTTGAAGTTGAATTATTTGAATGTTGAGTAGAATTATTAATTCTCCTTGCTACATTACTTTCCACAGCACCATCACTATTGCCACCAACACAACTAACAGAATTATCTCTTGATGATGATCTACTGATATTACGTTGACAACTAAATCTCTCAGCACGGTTATTAGTCCTAGATCTTCCGTTCCGTCGACCTCTTCGAGGTGTTATAATTCCCGGACTTGATGTATTGTCTACTGTTCTCACAACTGGTGCACTAGAAGGTCTTAAGACTGTTTCAGAATTACTACTGTTAGTGTGAGCTGCTAAAACTTCCGGCGCAATTAGTGCTATATCAGGCAGAGAATTTGGAGCAGAAACTGGTCTCAATGAATCTGATTCAATATTTGCAGATGATCTTCGAGTTCTTTGAGCTTCAGGAAGACGAAGGTGTCGAAGTCTGCGCATGGAAGAGCGCATCCAAGAACTGGCGGGAGAGTTTACAACAGCATTGTTTGAATCGCAATTTGTTGAATGACTTGTACCTTCACTATGCATTGATGCTGTTTCAAATGTTGTTGTAGTTGTTGATGTATCGTCACTATGATTGAAATCATTTTGAGACAATGTGGAAGCCACAGGCTTGCCCGTCACGTCAACGGACATCGCGACACTGCCATTGGAGAGCCGATCACTCGGCCTTAACGAGCGCATGCTCGGTCCCTTCGGTTCACTCGTGGAGAACGCAAGCCTCGCATTAGACGACGATGTGCCAGTAACTGCAGTGGTGGGAGCGTATTCAGAAGTAGACAATTTTGGTCGAGAAGTTGAAGATCGTTGACGTTCTAATTCTTCTACCCAAGACCAGTCTACTTCAGAGCACTCTGATGAAGATGCTGATGGTATTTCTGATTGTCTGAAAATTATTCATAAGCATCATTTGTCAGCAGGTGATGGAGTAAATGGTTTGATAGATGGATAACATTAGGTTTTAAAATCAAGCAAATTATTTAAACTAGTGTTAAGGTGTTGATTAAAGTATAGTATATTTATTACGTTATAATTCATTTCATTAATTATTCGATAAATCTATGATGTTAAAATACTCTTTTATAACTTGTTTGTTTGAGAAAAAATTTTCTATCATTTCAAGGATGGATTTTGAAAATCTATATTTAAAGTATTTGTAAAGCATTTGTGTGATCACTTGTTACTATTTAAAAAGTAAAAAGCACAAAAAATAACTTTAATGTTGAATATTCGTGGTAACAAATCATTTTTATGGACATCTTTTGCATAGGAAAGAACATTTTATAAAAAATGTATTATACATACTTTTTTCTCATCAGTCGTTTTAAGTGGTTATATAAATTTTTTAAATTAAATTATTCGTAGTGATAGTGAAAAATATTTCTCCCTTTTAATATATATTATATGGTTTTCAAACAAACACTCTGACCGTAATTACTTAAATAAAAATAAAAAACTGGAAGTGTTCATTGAAAATATCTAGGCTGAATGAGAAAAAATTTTTTTTTAACTAAAACTTTTGTTTCAGAAACACATTAAGACGCCAATTTCTTCAGTTTGCAGTTATATGTTTACCACTGTTATTCAAAGAATAAATAAGATTAAACGACACTTTTTTTTTGAATGTAAAATATGACAACATTTTTAATAATTTTTTTTCAGCTGAATAAACCTAAATTTTATTAATTTTTAAATTATTTTTATTGAAGAAGAGTTCTCAGGAGAAAAAAAACGCCGTCTAATTTATTTTTCATAAATAATTCAAGAACATGACTTTGTTTAATGCTTCCTATGAATTTTTAATGTGAAATATTCTATATATTAAATAATTCTTAAGAACGTCTTTTAAAAACATAATTATAATTATTAAAAAAAATTTTCTCAAATTATGTAATTCCTTTACGTACCATACGTTGAGAAATGTTTACATATCTATTGTCTCCTCTTACTCTTAACAATTTATCATATATTTTGTTTATCGTCTTGAATTTTTTTCTACTTATAAATTACTAACCAAATGAACATGAGAACACGTGTTAGAATGCATATGGCTGTTTAAAAGATCTTTTATGTATTTAGACCCACACATTTCAAATCGGTGGTGCATGCGCTAAAACTTCCGGTAATGTTGCGTGTAGATTTAGTTCGAAATGTGTGCTTCACGCTAGTAACCACGTGCTTTTGCTCGAAACATTCGTCGTCAAGAGAAACCCAGGGGGTCATTAAAGTTACCCTAACGTTTGTGTTGTTTGGTGCTTCACTCGACTTCACATACAATACAAGTTTTAAACGGAAAATGAAAATTACATTACAGCTTGTACTGTAAATCTCAGTTTTCCAAAATGCATTATTTTAATGCGGATAAGTGTGTTAAATATGACGTCATCTATTTAATTAACATTGTAGTCACTTTTTTCACACTCAGAAATGCGTTAAAAGTGACTACAATGTTAATCAAATGGATGACGTCATATTTAATACACTTATCCTCATTAAAATAATGCATTTTGGAAAACTGGGATTTACAGTGTGAATACTAATTAGAGTGTTTGTTAAAATAAACAATTGAATTTTTATAAATAATGTGGAATCGAAAAATATGATATTTGAATGACAGTTTAATCAGTTTTGATGTTTAATCCTGACATTAATTAGTTGTTAATAAATACATCAATTATCAAAAGTAGAATCGTTACAATTGAGTCAAATGTTGTAATAAGTTGAAATGCTTTAGACATTCTAATTAAACTTTTGAGTTAAAGGGACTATCTTTAACAAAATTCTTTCTGTATTGTATATTGTATTTATATATTTTTTTTAAATTACATTTTCATTGTTTTTTATTCAATAATTTAAAAGTAACATATTAAAATCTATATCTTCATATCTAATAACTACCTTTTTTTAAAAAATTATTTATAAGTTATAAGTAGTTGAGTTAAATTCAAAGTTTTTTATATTCAATTGATAATAAGGTTTCATGAATAATTAAGAAAAACCAATTCTGCTGGGAAATTTATCTACTTAAGTTAACTTCAACACAAAAATTAATTAATTAAATAAATAATGGATTAACCGTAAAATAACTCAATTTAAACGAGTATTTATACTTTAATAAAAAAATTCATTGTTGAATTTCACATACCACATAAGCAGTTGAATACATTGTTTTTTGTTTATTACAATAAGGAATTATATCTCGATTCATAAATTACTAGAATTTAAAGCATTTAGTTTATGTTAATTAATGGATGATAACATTTTCATAATTAATTTTTTTGTTATCACGTATTGAAAGTGTTTGATCAACATTATTCTAAGAATTCCTGAAGATTTTCAACTAAAAAACTAAACAAGATTCATGAGTCAAACTCGAAACCTTAATAATAAATTATAAATCGAGAAATTTAAAAATATTGAGCAAAAACTTATGACATTTTAACATCTAATTCAAAGAACCTTTAGCTTTACCTTTAGCCATCTTACTTTATGCCAATTTCAGTAATGTTTTCATAATCTATATCATTCCTATTCAATGACTAATTTATTTTGTTTGAAAAAACATATTTTTTTATCTGAAAAAAATTTTTTTTAATTCTTAGTTTTCATTAAATTAACTTAACATAATGTACTAATCCATCCAATTTCCTTAACCCTTTTTCATTTTCTCTTCATAAAACGACTCCAAGTGAAAGTCAGGTGCAAAATAGCTTTCATCCAAGAGTGTAACGTATATGTAAAATTTTTTAAATTATTCATCTGGTTGTGACTTAAATCATTTCATTATGCATGAAGATCCCTTTTGCAATAACAAAAATTCTCATAAATGATCTAGGTATAACTTACACGTAGAAGATGATTACAATTAGGATCAGTGAGCTCATCAGTAGGATAAAAAATTGAGCTATTTATATGATTTTTATCGTTCATAATCATAATTGCATTAAATTCAATAAATTTTACATCTATATCCACTCAACACGATGATAATAATTAATAAGTATCCATTGCATTAGCCATACTCTAATAGGAATAGATATTAATGCATTTGATTATTATTAAAACCTTATTACTGTGACAGCAATAATACAGTTAGCAAAATTTCTTTCATCATCCAAGCTGAGAAAATCATAGTTGAGTCATGAGATAGTTGAATGCGAGAGTGACTCTCACTTTCTTCTTTATAAACACGTATTTCTTAACATTTTAGAATCAGAGAATCACAATACTGATATGTTCTTAATTTTACGCTTAACAAGTAAAACACATGATAATAATAATAATAATAATAATAATAATAATAATAATAATAATAATAATAATAATAATAATAATAATAATAATAATAATAATAATAATAATAATAATAATAATAATAATAATAAAAATTTATTAAAACTTACCCAATAGAACAAATTGATTTGTAAGTCGCAGTAATTCCGGCAGATGTCGAAGGTTGGCAATAATCAACGATGCTAGAAGTTTTTTCAAAGCCTTCACTCCATGATTTGCTATCTAGTTTCTTCCCTGATTTCTTCAGTTGTCCAGTTGTTGAGGTATATTGAGATTGAGTATCAAAGTTGACCGACTTAGTTCTTTCAATTGCAGCAGACACGAGCCATTGTTTTCTTAATGAGGATGAAGCATCGAAACATGGATTATCTCGAGAATTCTTGATAATTTCTTCATTACATTTAGAATAAACTACTTGTTGTTTTTCATAATTTTCTCGATTCTTAATATTCTTATCAACTTCTTGAAATTTATTAGGACTAATTTGAATTAAACAAGTCGGTTCTAAAGGATAAGAGACTATTAAAGGCTTTTCAGAGGTAATTGATTCATTTAAATCTTGACTTTCTTTATTTACTTCTCGATCATCAATCTTTTCTTCTAGATTGTCATCATCGATATCATCCAATTCAGACAGGAAATCGAAGGCACGTATTGCTTGAGCTTCAAAGGTCAGATCATCTGAACTCTGAAAATACTCTTGTGGCGTCCTAGAACCATCTACTCGGTTTCTATTACATTTTATTGCACTTTCCACATTATCTGAATGTTGGGAAGCAGTAATAACTGGTTCTAAATTTTTTGTAATATCACGAATCCGTTTGATAGTTTCTGATGATACAACATCTATTCTTTTACGCACTGGAACAACTTGATCATGACCTAGAGTTACCAAGACATCTCCATTATCACAATGCTCTCGTATTAACTTGTGTTCACGAGTGAGTGATAATTTTTGTTCTAGTTTAGGTGGGCAGACATCCAGAAGGTGCTCTTGTTCTTCAGAATTGATTTCAGGCACTACAATAGTCGACACACAAGCTCTACCATCCAAGTCAATCAAGTCTTCATCTTCAGCAATAGCTGTTGCCATTTTATGATGACTTTTGCGACGTGCTCTTGCTGTAACATATCAAAAAATCATGATTATATTAATTATTATTTTATCTTGATAACATGATTACATTGAGTTGCATCAAATAAAGTTTCTGTTGCTTGTAACTGGCCTACATCTATGTCGTGACTTTACTAAGTGTTACGTTGACCCTGTGACCAGGATCGAGATCGAACCGTGAGAGTTTAGAGGTGCGGCTCTTGTCAGGATTTTTAAAAAAAAGTACCGTTGTTTAACGTACATTAAATAATATCTTGAAATTCTGCAATGAATGATTCAGCTAAAAGTAAGAACACTATTATACTCACCATCTTTGTAAAATGATTTAAAAATATCTCGTAAAAACATCCTACACCTAGAAAATAATATTCCAATAACTATAATGATGATGGTATTTGTTTCTGACTCAATCTATTCAATGCACCAAAGAGACTGATATACATTTTAAGTTAAGACTGATGTATACGATAACTCATGAGCTTTTAGGGTTGATTAACATTAATGCGATAACTTTACGATTTATCTCTCCTTATCCATGGCCACATAGTACTTTACGAAAATGACGTCTGATGGTGTTGGTAAATGTACGCAGAAGAAAGTGTATATTCTCTCAAAGTACATCGATTGCAATTTAATAGAATTTTTCAATAAACTTTTATTTCCCTAAATAATCAGTACCTTTACATTTAAATCAGTACAACATAATTCTCATCGTTACCAACAAACTACATAATTTTTCTTTTCCTGTTACATCAATTGTTTTTCATAGTTAGTTAGTAATTTGAAGTTTGGGTTATTATTTAAATTGTTTTTCTATCTTTATTTAATTGAAACCTATATGTTTAATTACTATAGCATATTAAAACATGAGTCTGGGTTTACTTTGTGTCCTGACGACGAACTGCCCATTTATTGAAATCTGTAATTTTGTAATCTTTTAGTTTTTTTTGTTTATAAAAAATTAATATTGTTATAAACAATGTACAATTGTTTAATCAGATCAAGTTGTTTATGATATTTTATTAATTTTCATCGAATATAATCATAATTGAGAACCACTGAAGATTTCGACTACGGTTGTTTTTTTATAATAAAAAGAGAGTAAAATAAGTTACGTAAAGAAGATATTTGAAACAGATTGTACTTATTAGATGATTAACAACTGAGGTCATTATAATATATTTGTTAATAACTTCATATGACTCCAGACCATTATGTATTGTTTATAATAAATTCAATTTTTCATAAACAATTAAAAATAGTTTTAATTAATTGAATTATCATTAACTTTATGGGATTGAACAAAAAAATCAAAAGATGGCAAAATTACGGTTTTCAAGTATTGGGAAGTTCGTCGTAGGGGTACAAACTAAGCCCAGACCTATTTTTACAATTATATATCCCATTTTTTATAAATATATTTATAATAAATTGAATATATACATGTTGAGAGTCATGTGAAATCATCAGCCACCATATTGTATTGATATTAACCTCAGTTTTTAATAATATTAATCACTAAATAAGTAAAATTCATTTCATATGTCTTTTTTGCTCTATTCACTGAATACTTATTTTTTAATCTTTTTGTTATAAAAACGGCTCTACCAAATTCATTCAAACTCCTCTCAGATCTCTTTCATTGTATTATCTTTCGAATAAAATTTGTCTGGAGTCAATATCTTAAGAATTCAATAGTTTCAAGATATCGAAAACAAAAAAAACCTGACATACGTACGCACATACATACATACATCTATTTTTAAACCTTCTAATATGTTTCTAAATGTCTCAAAACGTAAAGATATAGAAAAATACAAATTTCAAAATCGACCTCATTACAATAAATTCTTATTGGGAAGTTAAATAATTTTTGGAAATATATTTTTTAACTAGTTTTCCTTTTTGTATTTTTTATTATTAATTAGAAGTTTGTAATGCAATGCGACTATTGTTTTATGATTATAATTGGATTTTTAATTTAATAGTTCACATTTAATTAAAATAAAACAACGATAGAGGTGTAAAATTTTATGATAAGAATGTGAAATTGTGTTAAAATAGGAAGGAAGTTATGACAATGAATAGTAATGGTATATGTGCATAAATGAATATATGGAGAAAATATTATTATAATTGTAACAAGTTCAAATTCAAGTTAAGAGTGATGGTGAAGAGCAATTAGTAACGTTAAAGAATTAATATAGTTTTATTTTTTAAAAAAGTCAAGTGATTTTAATTCAAATAATATTTATGTACTCTGGGAATACAATAGAAGAAATTTAATTCAAGAAGTTCAAGAAATTTTGTTGTTTTAAATAAGCCTAGAGTCAGAAATTTATATTTGAGAAATTGGATTAAAGATTGTTAACAAATAGAAGTATTTTGACTGTTATAACAATTTTATAAATAAAATAATATTTTCTAATGCAATATTTATTGTGGGTCAGAAAATAGTAATAATCTATGTTTATGCTTGTGATGGATATTCAACGACTAATAATAACAAGAGTAAAATAATTTTTCACATCAAGTTAATCAACGTTATGGTTTAATTATTATTAGAAAAACAATTAGTTACACCAACCAGAGAGTCTTGCAAGTTAATGCATCATAATGAATGTAATTTTTAAAATGAAAATGATTCATTTGTAATATTCTATAGGGCTTTAATTCGCATTTACATACATTTATAGGCATACCTATATGTATACATTTCTAAATTAATGTATGCTCATTTGGTAGACTACACGACCTACACTACGTGATATGTTGAGGGCTCAGACTTTTATCCCTTGAAATTTCGTGAGTCACCGATTAGTGTATTTACGCATACAGATCAAGAGACTGTTATTATATGTAGAATTTTTATTCATTAAGTATTCATCATTCTTATACATTCACCAACTACACTTTTCGTGATTCACAATCTTAATAATCTCTGGAAAGGTAAAGACTTAAAAAAAATTTATTCCAAACCTGAGATATAATACTCAATAAGTTTATCAAAATAGATATCGATCTTTAAAAAATCAAAAATAAGTTTTATATTTTTTAGTTAAAATTAATAAAAAGTTTCAATGAATATTGACAAGAAGAGAGAATTTTTTCTTGATGCTTTGAATATTTAATTTTTTTTGCATAAAGTCAATATGTAAAAGTACAGGCTTAGAGTACAGCGACGAGCACTTACCTCGACATTGATTTTTTTTACTAACCAAGGCAACCCATGAAGCCCTACCAAGAAACAATTCCCTTAATGGGTAGTCGATGTTTCGCAGGACAAATGAATAATCTTTATTTATGCTTCAAAAACAATAATAACTCACCCTAAGAATAAAAATACTCGTTTCCTTATTCATTACTACATGTAGTAAATTGGTCTGTAAACTGCAGTCAATTGGTCAAGATTGTCATATAATAAGCATATAAATATCAATCAAATTTACTCAAGCTTAGTATAATTGACAATACATAAGACAATAAATTGTATAAGTGTTAGTGTGTCGTTTGATATGCAACTCTCCTTTCACTTAGTTGAGAAAAATAATGGCATAGTCAGATAACCGATAGTCAGGGGTAACGACATTGATTATAAAAAAGTTTTGATAAATAAAATCAATTAAATTATAAATGTAATAAACAGACAAGTCTTATTAGTACAGGATCAATATGACGCATAGACAAGAAAGTTCTTCATTCTATATAGTCAGTTTGTCTAATGAGTCAATGACCTCTCGAATTTTTATTTTCTGATGAGTTACATGATTAAAAAAATTTTAACTGCCAAAAATATACATATATTAAAGACCATCAAGCTTTTTGACATCTTTTTTTAAAATCATATTTTGCTAAAATAAAAATGTATTTATCTATCTTACCTATATCTTCGGTTAATGACGTCAAATCTTTTTCGATTGAGTCTTCCTTTTACTTCTTGATCAACCATTTCATCTCGATGCATTCGACACGTGTACATCGATTACGGCCATAATAAACAACCCAATTGAACTGTAAGAAATTTATAAATATTTCAACGACGTTTGATACACTGTTTATCCTTTACCGATTGAAAATTATATTTAAAAAACTTTTAAAATATTTAAACTAATAAAATGCGTCTTTTGATAGCCAACACTCTAAAGAATTCTAAAAATAATGGACCCACTTGGTTTCCATCATGACCTGCTCGGACACGCAATCGTCCACTTTGTTTTATTATTAATTCTTACACCAGCACAAGTCCGTGTCTTTGAATCATTTAAATTCTCCACTAATAATAATGATTATTATTATTGTACAAATAATGCAAGTTTAATCTAAGAATTAGAAAGATCTCATTTATTAGATTGACATCATTTTCAACACAATATCAGTACTCGGTCACGCATGATGGATATTTTTCAAAATAAAACTATATATGTACAATGTGTCACACAATGGGTGGTAGCTGAAAATTTCCTAAAATGATTCACCGATCCTTTTACAATAAAACAGAAGCCGTTCTACGTGAGATCAACAAGTTTGAAGTAACATTGAACTTGGTTCTAAATTCAAATGGTGTAAAGTTTATTTCTGCTCCAGTTCTTATTAGTATCATGAGTATTTTTTATCTCTCTTTGTATTTAAAAATTTTTTTGCAATCTGTTGAAGCGATCTACGGTACTTGAGGGAATAAATAACCTGTAGATTTTGACTCACTGTTTAAATTGCACAATATTTAATATAAAATTGATTGTTCACACTTAAATCATATCTGTCAGAAGATAACCACAAGTGATAGAAATCCTAGTTAAAAAGGTTTATCTATATTAACACGCTTACAATATTCACGTCCAGCAATATAAAATAAAACACGCCGGCGCGGCACTGAAGAAGTACGACTGGTTGGGCCTCTTCGTAGCGCGTGCATTCACCGATTCACATATACGGGGACGAGAAACAGGCGAGAGAGCGCGATAAAAAGGGAGAAGTGGTCTAGAGAGGGAATTGTTTGTGGAGTGGTCAGAACAGAGATGAAAGTATTAAGAAGAAAGAAGGAGGTATTGGCCAAATGCTAAGAAAAGGAGAAAGCAATAAGTATAACATGGTAGTAGAGGAAGAAAATAAGCTGTGAGTTGGTCGAGCAAATAAACAAGTAAGCAAAAGAGAGTTTAATATAAAGAAAGATGAAGATAGTTGGTGGTGAAACGTACAAGGCAGACTGTATGCTTGTGAAGAATCGAGATTGGTGAGGGAGGGAAAAAGTAAGAGAAAGAGAGAAGTAGCATATGGGACTTACGACTATACATACCATATAGAAATAGGGGTCTGAAGAAACTTGTGTTCCTCTTCTTGTATAGGTATACATATAACACACTGGATATGTACAGACCTGCATCACAGCCTTTACTGGTCCCATTGGCGTCGAAATCTTGGGACCTGTTCGCTCATTCTTCTCACTATTTCCAATGTCCTTGGATCTCGGTGGCACTACACAACCAACGACTGGACGGTTCAAACTGGTTATTGACCAGAAAATAAAAAATTTGAGGTTTACTTCGTGAATAAAGCAGGATCTACCTGTCAATAATCACGCTCATGATACCTGCTGCCTTTATTTCACATCTTCAGTTAGTATTGTAGATAAAAGTATCAAATACGCTAAAGGTTTTTCTATTTCTAGATTTCAATCAGCTCAAAATTGGAACAATTCATTGTGGGAGACATATCGACACTTTGCTGGTAAAATTATATAAATAGTACTAAGAATGTATAATTAATTTTTTAAGTCATCTGTTGCTTTAAATTAGATCATTGGATAAAAAATCTCTGGCTCATTAAAGTTAAATAAATATATTTTTTTATTGTATAATTTAGTATCCAAATGATCTTTGATTCTTATTTACAACTTTACAAATAACAATTATGCATGTAACCACACTTAATAGTTTTACCGGCAAATTATTGTGAGGTATGGAAAAAGTCAATATGGACAATTGTTTCATTTCACATTTATCTATAAAAATTATCAGGCTCAGACTGTAGAAAGATTTTTCTTATTTTAAAATGGATCATTCACACTAAATTTAATTATAACATGAAATTTCAAACAGTTATGTCCAAAGAGTTACTTAAACAGATCTTTTTTGAATTATAACAATTATATGAAATATTATCGTTTTTTTTCAAACTCCTTCAAGCGTTTTTCCAAAAGATTAACATCTAATCGATGTTTACAAAGGTAATGATCTTCCAAAAATAATACTGGAATTTGATATTTATATAATTCGTATAATCCCTCGTTTCCTGGTGCAGTAATATCAACTTGTTCAAGTGAATAGCGACCAAAGAATTTTTGTTTCAATTCATCTTTTATAATATCACACAATGAGCATGGATTTTTTGTAAACAACTTAAGCCGTGGAAGTAATGGAACTGGATACAACCTATGGCATTACCATCGATTTATTCTGCTGATTACAACAATTAAATATGTATAAAAATTATATGCAGTATTAAAAATATTTCAACATGTATATTTTAAAAATTTGCATAAACAATGTTATACATATGTCACATCAAAAAATAAATGCAATATTTATATTCTAGTTTTCATTATAAAATGTATAAAAATCATTTTAATAGTTTTTAACAAAAATATATATCACCTTCTCTTCACTTGATTTTTTTTTGTCACAACATTAAACTTACAGTTTCTCGATCATAATTGATGATGCACCACCACCTCCATTACAGATAGATGCAACGCCCTTCTCACCAGCTTTCAAAGCATGAACAAGATGAACAATAATTCTAGCTCCAGACATTCTGTAATAAATGCATTCAAATAAATAACTGCAATACACCATTTATTATTTTTATAATAATTTGTTTGAGCAATCTACCCAATAGGATGGCCGAGAGATACAGCCCCACCATGGACGTTAACTTTAGTGGGATCAAGGCCCAAATGTTTTTGATTAGCTACAGCAACAACACTGAATGCTTCGTTAATCTCCCACATAGAAACGTCATTCTTATTCACACCTGTTTTTTCAAGTAACTGAAAATTAAATTTTCTATGTTTTCAACATTCAGAATGTCATATAAAAATTATTTTAATAATCATTGATAATACCTTGGGGATAGCAAGTGCAGGAGCAATAGGGAAATCGATTGGATCTGTGGCTGCATCTTGAAAGTCAATAACTCGAGCTAAAGGTTTGAGATTCAATTTTTGAGCTTTTTGAGATGAACTTAAAATTAACGCAGCAGCTCCATCATTAAGGGTGGATGCATTTCCAGCTGTTACGGTTCCATTTTCTTTCTAAAATTATATACTCAGGTATTAGGATTGATTCCTAACTATTTATATTATAAAAAGTGGAACATTATACCTGGAATACAGTTTTTAAACCTCGAAATTTTTCGAAATTCACTTTTTTATATTCTTCATCTTCAACAATTACTAAATCTGGCTGACCCTTTTTTTGTGGAACATTAACAGAAACAATCTCATCTTGGAAGACTTTATTTTTCCAAGCTTCTGCGCTACGTTCATAAGAACTTATAGCATATTCATCTTGTTCTTCTCTAGAGATTTTAAATTTTTTAGCAGTGTTTTCAGCACAATTCCCCATATGGAACTTGTTATAAACATCAGTCAAGCCGTCAAAGACAATACCATCCTATGTAAAAAAAATTATTTTTATTTATTAAAATAAATTATATCAAAATGAATGATGTTATTTACATGTTAATTGCACACCTCTAAGGTAACACCGCCATAAGGAGTTGCTCCACGTCGTAAATAGTATGGAACATTAGACATAGATTCCATGCCTCCTGCTAGAATGATATCTTGATGACCACATTGTAATGATTGAGAAGCCAACATCACACTTTTCATTCCACTGGCACATACTTTGTTTACTGTTGTACATATTGTTGATGAAGGAAGACCTGTATTCAATAATTATGGCATATTAATTAATTTAATTATTTAGGTATATTGAAAAAAAGAGAAATTATATTCTGATCGAATAGTGAAACATTTTTCGATAGAAACTTGATTGTTTTAATTTTTTTCGAGATCTAAATCAGTTGAACATGAGTATTGATTTATTTAAATTTCATGAATCCAAATAAGTCCAAAATAATCTATTTCAAAGATAATCTTAATTTTTAATCTTGTTTTTTAAAAACAACTTGGATCGAATTCCTTATTTTCGTCGATTACAGTCAAAAAAATAAGTAAGTAAAATTAAATAATCACCATCATGACTATGACATATTTCACACCAGAGAATTTTGTAATGTCATCCGAATAATTTCAAGAAATTTCCCAACAATTTATTCTATATTTCTATTCTGACCGAGTTCATTCATCTTCAAGACAGACTATTTATGTGTATATAATAACTCTAAATCCATCAAGATATGTTGGAACTTTTAAATAAATGCTGGTCCATAACACTCAGTATAAATCTCAAAAGATTCTTTGAAAACATTCGATTTGTCAATGCTTAAAAAATAACTACAATTTTTCTTTCTCCGAATTTTCTACTTATTTATTCGATGTAAATCTTTACACGAAGATTATTGTACGATAATCACATTTGAGACACATTTCAACTGTTAAGGAATACTATTATCTTTTGTTTTTTATTGGGAATTTACAAGACCTGCAAATAAAGCAGCTTGTCGGGCTGGAGCTTGACCTATTGCTGCTTGACAAACATTCCCCATATAAACTTCTTGAACCTGATCTTTAGCAAGGCCGGCACGTTCTATGGAATTCTGTACAAATTTTTCGCATGTAAATAAATCTGGACCAAAATGGACATGTTGACTGTAAACATAATCGTTGGTGCAATTTATTTTCAAACTACCTGTATGGCAATAGCTCCAAGTTTCGGAGCAGGTAATGAAGAAAGAGCACCGATAAATGATCCTATTGGTGTTCTTACAGCACTTAATATAACCACGTCATTCAGATGCATTGTTGTGCTAAAAAATCTACATTTTGAGTAGAATCCCTAGAAAATCAATAATAAGAATGAATAAACACTAAGCCAATAAAGTAATTTTCATCATAGCTATTATTGTTTCTTACCACCATATTTATAGAAGCAAACAAGATTTTAGTCATTTTGTTATACTGAATTCTAACATACGGATCCAAAGTTGTACTAAACTGTGATTGAATCTATGTACAAGACTTGCTATCGGCTTTTCTTATATAATTATATTATACATACATTTTGTTTTATTATATTATATATTTTATCAAAAAGTCCCAAGAGATCATAAAATTTGCTTGTAAACATGTGTAATATATACGAATTCTGAATAACCTACTGAGTCGAACTGCTCGTGATCTGTTCATGTCACGACCATAAAGGGGCTCTACTTTCTGGTATTACGTAGCGGTTATGAGCTAAATGGGGATTACCACTACAATAAATCGTAGAAGAATAACCGAACAATCGGAATTCGTGGAAATATAAAATCTTTTTTCTACAGCTAAAGCGTCACAGACGAAAGCTGGGGATTAACTGCCGGTAAACTGGCTTGCCAGCGGGTACCAGGCTTTACCACTGGGCGCGCTGATATCTGGGCAAAGTTAGCCTACTTGATCGGTAGAGGCGTCGTTGTTGGGTCAATGCGGCCACAACTATTGACTCCATAAATTTTTTTGTCTGCATGAAATGAAAAAGTTGTATTGTTTAACATAAACGATAAATTAATTTTATTTTAAATGCTGTCACATGTTAATTTATAATGGTATTTCATTATTATTATTATTATGTTTAATTACAATTATTACAGAATTTATCATTAAGTAAATAAATTTATTTTATATACTATTTTAGAATTTTAAATTTTATTATCATTTTATACTAATTTTATTAATAATAATATAGTATGAAAAATAATTTCATTAATATTTTTAACGAATTTATATGATTTTTAATCGTAAAGTTAGGATTTAATGAATATTTAGCTTGAATATTTCCCGCCAGATCACATCTGATAGCTTTTTTGGAGCAGCCAATAGCGTGTAAGCACTTGTATCTTGAGTTGGATGGAAAAAAAAAGTTCATTTTCATCATTAAGGCTGGGCTGAAGTCAGAAAGGCAACTGATTCCCCCTATCCAAATACATGGGATCGGGAAATTTCTAATTTCTTCGCCAATTTACAATTATTTCTATAAAATTAGGTACCAAATTACAGAGGAATTAATGCCGGACTGACGTAAACAACAATTTTTTGTATATAGTGAATATTTTTATTAAAAAAATTAGAAAGAATAATGAAAAAATTATGAATTGACTTGCCGCGCTTAAATTTCAAGATGGCGGCCACATCATTCAGATGAAAAATCACTAATTATTTCATTTTTATACGTTTTTCGCCCAAAATTCGTGTTTGCGTCAGTCCTTGCCACCTGTCTGAATGTTAAAAAAATCAATTCATAGTATAAAATTGAATAATTTAGAAATAATTAGAAATCTTGTATTCCAGATGATATTCTCCGGAAAATTAGTTTTAAAAAATTCTGATAGGTGACAGCATTATGCTCGCAGATGACCTCAGTCATCCATATTGAAAAAATGCTCAATCCGTATCCAGAACTGATGGTGCCCTGCATTTTGGCGAGTAAATTCTGTATGTGTGTGTACGGGTAATATATGTATGTGATGTAAACATAGTGTATCACTTTACAATGCCCTACACTTTGATGACTATTGCAGTTAGGATAAATGAAAATGATGATACTCATTTAACATTAATTAATATAATACCTGCAAATGACTTCAAATACATATATTCATCCATTAGTATCATTTTTATTAGGTATAAATGTTAATAAGGAAGCTCAATTCCAAGTCGGCGTATCCAAGCATGTAGTGTAAAAACAAATATACATTTACTCAATATCGAGATTATGCTGGCCATGTGGTTAGGGCATCAGAGTTCTATTTTGCCGGGCAGGGTTCGATCCCAGTCATAACCAATTTTTTTTTTCTACTTTATTCGTTAGATTAGCATGTAATTATAATATTGACATGCTATAATTAATCTTTTATAACAATTTGATTTTTTTTTCTCTTTATTCATTGAATTTATTGACGCTAAGTCGAAAAATATTTGAACAGAGCCATAAACTTTCTTTTTGTATAAATACATTGATAATAGCCTGTGTTTAACAACTTATACATCTTTACATGTATTAACAATGTTATGTTATTAACAAGTTAATCATATTATTATCAACATTGAAAAGTAGTTTAAACAATCCGTGGCGAGTTCCGGCACTTCGCTGGCAAGCTCTACCCCTACTCTCTATGCCCAAGCCTGCAGCTTATAATTTTTGAGCATATATAGATGTTTTGTAATCATAATAGCTCGGTGGTTAGCGCATCGATCTTTCATTTTGATGGGCAGGGTTCGATTCCAGTCATGGTAGTTTTTTTTTTCTTTTTCATTTGTTAGATTTGCATGTAATTATAATATTAACATGCTAAAATGAATTCTTACCAACGATTTGATTTTTTTTTCTCAATTATTTATGTAATTTATCGACGCCGAGTCGGAAAACATATGAACAGAGTTATAAACACTTTTTTTACTATAGCTATATGAACGTAGCTTTTTTTTAAGCAATTTAGAAATATTTAGAAGTAGTTGAAATAATCCACGGGGATTTCCGGCACTTCGCCGGCAAGCTCTATCCCCACCTTTCGTACTCAAGCCTGCATTATACAATTTATAAACATAAACATGATGTCAGAGATAATATGTTAGCTCTGTGAGTAGAACACCAAGCTTTCATTTTACCGATTAGGGTTCGATCCCAGTTATAGCCAATTTTTTTTTTTCATAAAAATTTTATATAAATACAATAATTGGTTGTTTGTATAAGTTCAAAATCAATTCCTAGTGTCTTTTAAAGACAACATTTTCTAAAAAAGAGAATTCATAGTAACTCGTTCCTCACCCTCAGCTTATTTTCAGAAAAACAAGTTTTTTTTCGTAATTAATTGGAAGAATAATGTAATAAAATATATGAATTGATTTATAAGTATATAAAGTCACTTGAACAAGATACAGAAAAAAAAATTGCCTATGACTGGGATCGAACCCTGCCCAGCAAAATGAAAGGTCGGGGCTCTAACCACTGAGCTATTATAGTTCCAATTATATAAACGATGCTTGAAAATTATAAGCTACAGGCTTGGGCACAGAAAGTGGGGGTCGAGCTTGCCGGCGAAGTATCGGAACTCGCCGCGGATTGTTTAAACAATTTTTTATTATTAATAAGTTGTTAAAAAAGGCTATTATCAATGTATTTGTACAAAAAAAGGTTAATGGCCCTGTTCAAATATTTTCTCATTTGTCATTGATTAATTGAAAAAAAAATTTTACATAAAAATTGAAATTTAAAACTCATTTTTGGCATGATAAAATTGCAATTACATGCAATTTAAATAAAAAAAAAATTTTGCCGCAATTAGAATCGAACACCGTTCGGTAAAATAACTGGCGAACCTTCTGACTATAGAGCTAGCATATTTTCATTTGCTTTGTTTACGTTTAGATATCGTAAGCTTCAGGCTTAGTAACAGAGGGTGGGGAATGTGCTTGCTCGTCAACTGTTCGAACTCGCAGTCTGCTCTGAAAAATAAGACGGAGATAGATAGATATATTTTGTGCTCTGTCTTGCTCGGAACAGATTATTCTGAAATTTGTAAATTTCTTGGTACCCTAAGGCTCCCTTTTTGTAGTGCATCCCTGAAAATTATCATTTTTCGAACGATTTTCCTGTTACCTACTCAATTTCAGTTGACGTCAAGCTTCGGCCTTTTGCCGCACAACACGAGGGCGTAAAGTCAACTCCGGGAAACTTTCTGACTTCAGCCCAGCCTTAAGATTCTGACGATTGTTCCGTTAGTCGGTTAGTACACACTCAGTGTCAAATCTAAATACGTTAAAAGTAGATTTGTTAAGTTATTGTTTTTTTGATAATAAATAATTGAAATTAACAGTTGTTTTGTAAATAGAATTCAGTGATCCACATGTTTGTCAACGAAAATGAGGGTGAAAGTATTTAAGAATCAAGAAAAATGATTTCATTTATTGAAATAATGAGAAAATTGATTTCTCCTACGTGTAAAAAAGTTTGTGAACCACGTAAGCGCTCAACTGATTATCTGTATCTTATACTATAAGCGAATAATATTAATGAATCGATGATAGTGAGAAGTAAAAGTTAACTGTAAGAGAGTAAAAAAAATTTCTATAATGCTTTATATTTTTATTACAATCATTGATTATTGATTTATTGTTGTTACTTGACAATAAAAAAATTAATAAATTCTTCAAATACAATAATTTCGATCAAAATTTGTGTTAAATATTTGGAAAAAATACAAAATAATGTCAAGGAATTGTCAAAAAAATGAGACGTGAGAAGACGTAAATGTATACGTGACTTAATGAGTATACAAGATTTTGATGCATCAAGAGTGAAACTCACGTTATTTTGAGTGAAATATGTTGTTATCAAATACAGTCCAAAAATCGCTTTTGATTACACATCAATGAAATATCGAATTAATGTTGAAAGTTTAAACAAATTATAACCATACGAAATTATTTATTTAATAAAACAGTTAAAAAACTATTAAAAATGTCAAAAACAATATTGTGGCTATTTTTCTCATATTTGACGCTCAGCTATGCCAATTATTTTGGATCTAATGTAAATAATAATAGCGATCAATGTTTTTGTAAAGTAAGTTGATGTTTTCAAATCTATAACTTCGCTCATTGTATTTCTTTACTATGTAATGTTTATTATTTTACAGTTGAAAGGGTCCATTGATGATTGTAGTTGTAGTGTTGATACGGTAGATTATTTCAATAATATGAAAATATATCCAAGATTACAAAGTCTTCTAGTAAGAGCTTATTTTCGTTTTTTTAAAGTTAATTTAAAAAAAGAATGTCCATTTTGGGCAGACGATAGTAAATGTGCAATTAGATATTGCCATGTTCAACCTTGTAAAGTTGTAAGTATCGATTATATTAATACTATTTAGCAAGATCAATTTTTTTTAAATTCAATCAATTAAATAATGCCGTAAATTAGATAAACATTTCAATGAGGGGTTAAGAAATTTTTTAGGACGTTCTTCTATTATTATTATATGACAAACAAACCTCCATTCTAAGACTATGTTATTTATATTTGTACGAATTTCTATATTTTTTACTGTAATCTGTAAATCGAACAGTACTAATATATTTTTATTGATTTATTAATTTCTGTTTTCAATTACTTTAATTAAAAGCTATCCGTAATCGGAGCAAGGATAATAAACAATATATATTTTATGTTACTATGAAAAATTACATTTATTAGAATTCATCAACGTATGCCAAATTTCTTTTATGGTTAATATTTTTACATATGATATCATATGTTATATAATATTATATAATACTAACTAATAAAATATTTACTAATACAATATGTTTAATTAATTAATATATCATTGACGAAATAACCATATCTCGTTGTTCAATCAATTAATTAATCATCCAATTTCTTTGCTATTTTTTTGGTAATATCTATTGAGAGTTATAACAATAATTTAATTTTGTAATATTCACAAAAAACAATTCCATTCCGATAATTTTGAAACTTTGTCGTGGTTTTTTAATTAATGATTATAATAATAATTTTATTGTGATGACTGCAACCAGAGGTATGCACCCGGCCATCGCTCGAAGGCTTTCAGCCTTTCAATGATTACATTTTTTTTTTCATACAGGATGATATACCAGTAGGATTAAAAGGAGAGCTGCCTACAAATGGTCATGCTCATAAACGTCCATTTGAAAAATATTTAGCTGAAGCACAGTTAGACGATTGTGAGCAAACGGCGAGAGATCACGATCGAGAGCTTGGTTATTTGAATACAACAATTAGTTCGGAAAATTATAAAGAATTTGAACGATGGCAACAGTACGATGATGCTCAAGATAATTTTTGTGTAATGGAAACAATGGATGGTGAATACGTTGATCTTTTACTTAATCCTGAACGATATACCGGTTATAAGGGACCCAGTGCTCATAGAATATGGAGAAGTATTTATATGGAAAATTGTTTTAGACCTGATAAATCACCACATAATTTTATTCAGACATCGAAAATAAATGGTAATCATATACTCTGTACTTTACCTTGTTAAATTATATCTAACATAAATAATAACAATAATATTCTATTCTAGGCATGTGTTTAGAAAAACGAGCCTTTTATCGAGCTATATCCGGATTACATGCAAGCATAAATATTCACTTATCTGCTAAGTATTTATTATCTAGTCAGAATTCCATGGGTCTCGTCAAAAGTGACACAGAATGGGGTCCTAATTTGCAAGAATTTAAGCGAAGATTTTCTCCTGAAACCACAGGAGGTGAAGGACCTGGGTGGTTGAATAATTTATACTTCTTGTATTTACTGGAGTTGAGAGCTTTAGCTAAGGCATCACCTTATTTAGAAAGAGAAGAATATTATACAGGCAATGAAGTTGAAGATGCTGAAACCAAAATGGCAATAAGAGACATTCTTGCAGTTATAAAGTAAATTACATTAGAATAAATCGTTGTTTTATTTTTTCATTATTTGATTATTAATTCATGTAAATGTAGTCAACTTAGTTTTTTATATTTATTTTTATCTTCAATCTTTGAAATATTTATCATTTATTTGTTATTCAGGTCATTTTCTGATCATTTTGATGAGTCTGTTATGTTTAACGGCGGGCTTCAGGCTCAAGCATTGAAAGAAGAATTTAGGCAACATTTCAGAAATATATCTCGTATAATGGATTGTGTTGGATGTGATAAATGCAAATTATGGGGAAAATTGCAAACGCACGGTGTTGGAACTGCATTGAAAATATTATTCTCAGGAAAATTTGATAAATGGTCTCCCACATTAAATAATTTAAATAAAAAACATTTTTACCTTGACAGAACCGAAATTGTTGCATTAATTAACGGTTTTGGAAGGTATTTATTATTATTTGTAAATAATCATTTCGTAGAATAATTATGCTTATATATATATATATATAAGCATGATTATTATATAAGCAATATATATATATATATATATATTAATTACTGATTACTATTGATTACAGACTATCAGAAAGTATTTTCGAGCTTGAAAAATTTCGTCAAATGATGAGATAGTGTGATTCAAGATTGAAAAAAAAAAACCTTATAAAACCAGTGTGCAAATATAACATAGAATAATTTATAGATATTAATTTACATCGATTACGTAAACTTTTAATTAACAAAATTATCGATCCAAATGATATTTTTATTTTTTAATAGCCATGATATTATGTGTGAATAATTGACTATTCAGTAATCCTTCTTATCATCTTATCATTATCAAATATCATCTTAATATTACTGTGTTAATACTCCGGGAGGATTTTTTCTCGGAAGGATTTTTGCGTACACCCCAAACAGTTTATCGCTTCCGTTTTTTAAATATTTATAAACAAATATTTTACAAATTGACTACTCAATACTCTTGAGTACGAATTTATTTTTCTACGTACACTTACTATTTCATCAATTTCTCAAATATATACCTTAAAAAAGACGTAAATAACGACTAAATACATAGATATTTCTCATTTAATAATTTATAACAGTTACAATCCAATTTTATCTGTGATAAATGATTTGCTTGTCCATTTTTTTCTGGTGTAACATATTGTATATTAATATTATCAAAACTAATATGAACTGATATTATGTTTCAAGATGAATATTTCTATCTTTTGTCATTATTTAATACATAAGAATTATGTATATCATTAATGTTATAGGTATAGTTTGAAGTTATGTCTAAAGAATAAAAAATGTTTTAATAAATAATCTTTTAAAGGAATTTTTGAAATTTGTGTATGAACTATTGTATAGAAAATCCCGTTAATTTCCTGCTTAAACGATCCTATTAGAGGATAAAATTAAATTTTTATAGGATTTTAATATAAACTTTATAATCCTATTCAATTTTTTTTTCTTTACAACTTTGCATTAACATTGAACAATATTTAATGGGATTTGAATACTGTCGCAATTTCCTTTCAAATTAAGGGTAAACCTATTGAACGCTTCATTAGGATCTTATTATCACAGAAAAAAAATCAGTTTAAACAAAAAGAAATTTTCATTCACTCTCAAGGTTTTTTGTTCATACAGATTTGTTATTCAAGTATATACCTGGAATGAAATTTATTAAAAACTTTGTCCGAAAAAATCGTGTTGGTGAGATTCGATCCTGGCATCCTTGTTAGTCCAAAAGCCGTGTAAATTCCCTATGCATTAATTTTAAGATGTTTGAAAAAATTTTTTGATCGCATTCTCTCGTAGAGATTAACGAGAAGAGCATTTGTGCTGAATATCATTGTTTGGAAATGATTTTATTATTGTTTATTAATAATAACATACATACATTATTAACAAAATTTCACCATTAGTCAAAAAATTGGAGAATTTTTTCAATTTTTATAATAATCTTATGAAACGTATTCCAAAAAAGTATGAAAATTGTATTGACATATAATGAAAAAGCTAGTACTAGTGATTGAATAACTAATAACTATCCTATTGACATTAAACACTCTATTATTTTGTTGTTGACTTATCTTTAATAACGAATAACTTTTAATCAATTCACTTTAAATAACAAATATAGTTTTAATCTTAACTAACTTGAATATAATTAACTTTAGTAAAAATTTTTCCAATCATACCTAACTTAAGTATTATATTGGAATAATTAACCTGAACTTTTCGAACTCATAAACTAAAAAAATACTCGATTAGTCGTAATTATTTGTTTTCTGCATGTCATGTATCGTTCCAGTCCTTGATTTTCATCATCTGAATTATCACTATGTTGGTTTATTCTTCTTATTGTCGCCATGCACAAATGTGTCCACACGGTGAAATAACTATTGTAGCCTCAGAGCTTAAACATATTACACAGAGGTTTCTTGCAACCGGTGGACGATATACTGCCGGTGCAACCGCACCTTTTCTCTAGGTTATATAGGTCTCTCTCGAGGACGACCTGGCACTGGAGGGTTCCTAGCTCTCTTTTTTGTCTGTTGCGTACTGGAATATACATTCTTTCTTTGATTAATAAAGAAAAAAAAAAGGATATTCGAGGTATCAGTAATTTATGAATTCACTTAAGATATTTACCTGGCCTTCGCCCCTGTTGTGGTTGCTGTTCAGTCATCATCATATCTGTACTATTGCCGTCTTTTTCATAATGTTGAACATTGACATTTGGAAATCTCATATTGTCCATACTTTAAAAAAAATATTTTATAGAAGTTCAATATGTTGTACCATACGCAAAGTCAACATCAATTATTGAAAAAGTATACATAATAAACTTTTTTATAGATTCGCTTTTAGCTTACCGTCTTAATTTTAATAGTATTCGAATGCTCTCGCTATTTGGTATTCATGCCATTGTTCCTTATTGCAATCGTTACAATTAAATACATATTAACGAACTATTTGTATAATCCTTGCCAAAAGTTATTTAATAGAATAGTCGTATAATCAAGAGATACGGTAGTGTCTCGTGCGCCAAACATAAATTGCCGCCATTCAGCCCTTACGTCACGACGAGGCACTACCGTGTCTCTATACAAATTATAAGATGATTTTTGCAGGTTATAATTTTTGAATTAAAAATTTTTTTCGTATTATAAAATAAACATGGGCTGAAATTAAGAATTTGTTCGGAAAGCGATCGTTGACTTTCGATTAAGCATACTATGAAGTATTATCATTGCTTCATTCATAATATACGAAATTGAAAAAATTTCGTTGCGCAAAAATTGAGTAAAATGAGAGTTTATTCATGGAGCAATCATACGTTTTTTTTTATCAAGTTGGTGATCAGAGTTTTTAATTGCTATGAAGTTCTCTCACTAACAGATTATAAAGTTGGTAACAAGTTAATTTTGCTCGAGCGCGAATATACAAATAATCAAAATATTTTCTGAACAGATTTATTTTTTTTTAAATATTCCTTTTCAGTTGATATGTACAAAAAATGGTGAAATCTCATCAAAAACAGCCCCCTTCTTCTGGGCTGTACAAAAATGTGCGCCAAACATAAATAACGACAATGATGAAATTACAAAAAGTTCTAAAATCATTAAACGCCAATTATTTAAACCTACGAATTAACAATATTTAAAATGAATTATTTTCTTCGGTTTTTTTTTTTTTAAAAAAAATTTAGTACGTTTAATGACACAATAAACATAACAACCAGAAATTTGGCGTGACTGTTATTTAATAATTGGCTTAAATATTTTCAATATTTTCACAATTTCATGCTTCTATAAAACCTAAATAACAGTCACGCCAAATTTCTGGTTGTTATGTTTATTGTGTCATTAAACGTACTAAATTTTTTTTAAAAAAAAAAACCGAAGAAAATAATTCATTTTAAATATTGTTAATTCGTAGGTTTAAATAATTGGCGTTTAATGATTTTAGAACTTTTTGTAATTTCATCATTGTCGTTATTTATGTTTGGCGCACATTTTTGTACAGCCCAGAAGAAGGGGGCTGTTTTTGATGAGTATGAATATTAGCAATTAGTTAACAATGATTAATTGATGAGACTCTTTTTCCTTTATTTCACTACGACTTTTCAATTCGAACTCAAGAATCACGTGTTTTTTACGACGTATTTATTTTGCGTATTTTACCCATAATCCCTAAATATTAAACGCACTAACGATTACTGTCCGAATGATCGATATTGTTCTTTAGAGTCGATACTCTATTTCAATAATTCAAATAACCAATTTCGATTTTTAATAAGTAAATGATTAAATTATAAAGATAGTATTGTTTTTTATTAATTTTCTTTATGTATAATGTAAAAAATACTTTCCAATGACAAAAATTAGTAATTTTTCAATATAAAATATTTTCCAAAATATAGTTTCGAGTACTCGAATGCCAATTGTTTCGGTCTATACTAAATATTCCGACAGCATCTCAATTTTTAATTATTCATATTTGACAAGCTGATATGGTATGAGACTCGTACAATTTTTTTTCATATCCAAACATTTACAATTTGTAAATATAAAACTTATTGCTACTATGTAAAAGACGAACTGCAAGCGCTTATGAAGCTATTTGGAGATTCCTTATTCAACGTGCTCCAACATTAACTCAATATTTACAAATCATTAATTGTAATTAGAGTTTCGTGTAAACCGTCGAGGTATTTGGACCTGTTGTATTGAGACCTCTTGGTCTCTGATTATCAAGTCTAAGTGTGTTTTGAGCTCTATATGTGACATTACAAGCAGTGTAAACGTGTTGTTTTTCTTCTCTTTTTTGAGAGTTGAATTCTATAAGTAAGGAAAACATCAATAATCAGCGCTTCAATAATCTGTACATTTTGTTTACCAACTCAATTTTTTAACCATACTATAGCAACCTCACAATGGTACTAACTTTATAAAAAAAATCGTATATTTAAGAAAATCTGTATTTTCTTAAATCTTGTACATGGGGGCGTGGTCAATTATTCATTATTTAAAATAATTAATTTTGTGTACCGAAGTTATATTTTTAGGCCGATATTATAGAAAATTAATTGGTCTAATAGATCGATAATCAGTAAAATTGTTTTATCGACCCATGTAGAGTAGTGCAAAATTTAAATTATCGGCAAAGCCTATTACAACCATGTTTTAGAGAGAGAGGGTCATAAGAAACATAATAGATCTGAGAGAGAGAGAGAGAGAGAGAGAGAGAGAGAGAGAGAGATATTGTGATGATTTTGTTGCCATGACACTTCACTTGTCTCCGAGGTTCTAGACTGACGAGACCAACGAGAGTTGTAGCTCTGGCTAAGAGGTTGTAGCCTTTTAGTTCCCCGGAGAGTTGAAGCTTTCCAAAAGTAGGACCTGGAAGGTTGTAGCCACCAGGATTAACCACGGAGGGTTGTAGCCTTCCGGCCAAGAGTTGGTGCTTTTGGTGTTAGTTAGCAATCGAGAGTTGGTGCTCACGATTTCGACTGTGTAGGAGTTGTAGCTCCTCGCTGACGAGTTGTAGCTCGTCGATTACCTAGGTAAGGTTGAAGCCTGCCCTCTAGGAGTTGTTAGCTCCTAGAGTACCCTGGGACGAGTTGTAGCTCGACCAATTAGGGGTTAGGTTTAGGGGTAGACATTTTTGGGGTGGGATTTTATGATATCAACTCTCTCTCTCTCTCTCGAGTATAAAGGCATTTAAGTTAAAGTTTATTTGTAAAGCTGTACAATTGGAAATCTCGAATAGAATAAATATATGTTGTAAATTGTGTATATAATAAAGTTGGAATTGGATTTTAATGTGTGTTTAGAGAAATTACTTTGTAACGTATCCGTCATAGAATCCTGGGCCATAAAATTCGATAATTTTTAAATTGGGGCGGGAATTTTCTTGAGGTTTCGCCTTAAGCAAATTTTAGTCGTTACATTTGAAAGACAATAGCATACTTAATCTATTTCTGAAGTAAATTAATGAGGTTTTCTGAAGTTTTTATGGCATGTTCAAGTCATGATAATAAAGATATTGCAATTTTAAAGTGTATAACCTCAACAGACTGTGATTCAAGCAGAATAGAGACGCGGTAGTGCCTTCGTCACCATATAAACGTCCGCCATATAAACTTGGCACTGGAGACACTACTAAAGTAAACGTGTCTTCTGATGTTAAAAATTTTTAGAATCATACCATACGTCATAAGTTGATTCGTGCAGTTATAATAATTATTTTACTTCTATTCTATTATACATTGAAATTCAGATTCCATAAAAAATGATTGTTGATAACCAAAAATGGTTGATATTGAAGATAATTAATTTAAATTTGAGAAGGCCGAAAAGAAAAATATTACATATATTTTTTAATGTTATTATATGCTGAAATAATAATAACACAATATAAATTATGTTCTTTTTTTCTTTCCTTCTTTCTTCAAATTACGTTTCAATTACTTTCATTCTAAGATTTCTAAATTTACATGAATGTCTTCACGATTTGGTCGTGGAATCGCCAATATTAAAAAATCCATAATACTTGTTCTGTGAAAGGCCATACTAGTTTTTACGTAATACTCTCAATAGACTGGTTTTTACGCATAATTGCATATAAATAAATTTTTCTTTATCAATCATAACAGCTCCTAACTTTAATTTCGCAATGTCGCGTCCTAATAGGGTACCAAAAACATTTTTGGCTATACATTTTCCTCGATATACATATAAGTAACTTATAATATACATACGTATGACTATGTACGTTTGTTTTTCTATTTGATATGATGTTTGTGATTTTTTATAAACGTTTTTTTATTAAGCAGTTTGATAGTTTTATTTTAAAAGACAGATATTCTCAATTATGAAAAATAGAAGAACTCGTTGTTTATTGAAAAAGTATCAAAAATTTGTATAACAGTAAAGATTATAAATGTGTCGTCGCAGTCAATTTTTAAGAAATTAAATATGAATCACAAAACGGGTAATATGTTAAGTATTATTGTAGTGCTTATAGAATGATACAAAAAATTCAAAAAGAATAGTAAAATATTTCACAAACTGAAAAGAGCACTGAGAGACCAGTAATAATACATATTCTTATTACCACAATAAAAATAATTTGAAAGTTCAGAACCTTGTGAATACAAAAAAAATTGAATATTTAAAATTAATTGTTGACAGTGATGATGAATCTTATTTTGATTAATTGATAATTTATAAATATTCAAATTGTTGAAAATTCAGATTTATGATATTTATTCTAATGAATAAATAAGTAAACTATTAGATTTATTATTCAATTATTTTATTAATAAAAGAAGGCTCGAAAAAACATATCTGCACAGGCTGAGAGACTCTCATGGACTAACGAGAATAGTACTTAGTCTATATAATATTTATATATATAATCAGTCCTAATAATTATCTTAAAATTATATAAACATCGATGTGTAATATAAACTTAGCCTACGACGTAGTTCCATCATCACTGGAACACACGCTTATAATATAGATATAACCGTGAGAGTAAGAATGTTTATTAGGATATTATAAACTAAAGATATTATAAACTAAAGAATAATAATTGAATTTTGTTCATATTCCAACACAAATCTTACACACTTTTGAGAAAAAGTAATATAATTGAAAAATAAATATTATCTCCAACTATTTAATGACTGCACTGTACAGATTTTCGCATGAAAATAGTGATTTCTGTTCGATAGTACATATTCTTAGTGGAAATACAATACATTTAATGACTAATTCTCATGTAAAATCATAAGATTAAAAATATAGTTTTTATTAATTTTTCATTTTAATAATCTAAATGATGATTACAACGAAAATTCTTATTTTTTGTTGTTATTCGTATCGATTTATATTAAAAAAAAAAAAATTTCTCATATCTAATAATGGCGATAATAAAAAAATTACGATTACAATATAATTTGTAAAAGAGAAGGTATTTAAAAAATGAAATTATACATATTTTTAATAAATAATAATACAAAATAAAAAAATATTTTTGAGTTAATAACGAAGTACTGTTTTGAAGATATAATCGATAAGTCGAGATAATTATAGCTCTACATATAAAACATCTTAAATCGTCATATCTTTCAGCCCCGTGTACAATGTTGACACATACACACATGTCCGCATGGTATGTGAACCAGGTTAGCAAAATTTTCAATACATATAATACACGAAGGTTCTCTTCGTATTAATGGACCATCATCAATTTGATTCTGTATGAGTGGACGATTTTCCAACTCCAACTCAGGATTAAATGCTAACAGTGGTTGCTCACGACGCCGTTCAATTGCTAATAGGTTGCGCTGTCCTTGCCGATAATGATTAGCTGAAATAATAGTTTCATGAGTGGACGATTTTCCAACTTCAACTCGGGATTAAATTTTTTCGCCAATACAAATTATTTTAGTTTATGATGAAAATATTTTAAAAGCTGTCTTACATGTAAACGCGACAAGTAGTTTCGAATGATGTTCTACACATAGGACATCGTGCTCCTAGCCGTGTTCGTGCTTTCTTATACAATCAGCACATATACAAAAACGGATACATGGTATATATATAACATTTGCTTGATTTTCAGTACAAATGATACACAAAGGTATGCCGGATATTGGTGGATTGGGTGCGTTGTCATCCTCTACCAGTTCAGGAGTTGCAGCTTGTCGTGGCCGTCCGCGAGGGCGTCTCATAACTACTGGATTTTGTAATAGTTGATTCTTGTTATTATCTAAAATGATAATAGTTTTTTTTTTTAATTAATGATAATAATTTTTGAATTACTAAAATTTTAATATGTTAGATTAAATTTATTATACCACTAAAAAAATACAGATAATTTTAGATCTCACTTTTCTTACTATTAGCCGCATTAATTTCGTTTTGTGATAAAAATCCTTCAGCTCTGCATGGCCGTCCACGACGACGATTAACAGCAACACAATTTTGCATGTTGTGATTGTTGTTATTATCTGAAATGTTATTTTAAAAAAAAAAATTATGTACTTTTAAAAATTTCCTATAATTCAATATTTAAGCTAAAATAAATAATTTTTATTAATTAAAAAATAAAAATAATTATACATTTAAGTCTTACCATTAGATGGATTAATATTATGTTGTTGTTGAGGCTCTTCAGCTCTTGATGCTCGTCCACGACGACGTCGTGTAATTAAATGATTTGGTTGGCCTTCTTTTTGGTTTCTAACTGAAATCATAGTAAAATTTTGGGCTTGGAATATTTATTTTATTTAATATCTATACATATGATTTATTATAAATATTTACCTCAATTCAATTGCTGTGGATTATTTATTCTATTCTGTTGCTGTTGTTCTTGATCTCTTATTCTTTCTCTTTGCTCTAATTGTGCTGCTAATTCTTCGAGTTCAGCTAGTTCTTCCGGGCTCAGCAATTCTCCATCTTGTGGGAGATTGTTATCAATATCATCATCACTGTCATCATTCTCAATTTCATTTTCATTATCAGCTGAAATAATAATGACATAATAAAAATTATGTTCTTTTTTTCTTTCCTTCTTTCTTCAAATTACATTTTAATTACTTATATTCTAAGATATCTAAATTTACATTAATGTCTTCACGATTTGGTCGTGGAATCGCTAATATTACAAAATCCATAATACTTGTTCTGTGAAAGGCAAGATTGTTTATTATTATCATTTTTGAAATGTTTAAATAAATAAATAAATATATATATAAATAAAAATTTTACAAAAATTTTGAATTACCTTCCTAATCGTAATGACAATTGAAGCTGTTCAATTCGTAAATCAATTTGCTGTTGTCTATTTTGTCGTTGTATGTTGTCCATCAATCCTTCATCTATTTGTTTGGAGTTTAGTTTCACCTCATCTGTGTAATTCTTGAGGTAAGCTGTAATATTTTATATTATATTGAAAATATCCAAGAAAATAATTTTTTTTTTAATTTTAAGGGTAAAAAAAACATTTTAAAACTAAAAGATCTTTAAAATAAAGCAAAAAAAATTGAATAAATAAATAAAAAAATAAATGGAAATTTTTACTTACGAATAAATCTTTGTAGAGGAGGATGAATACCTCCCAGTTTTCGTACTAAATGACGATGGCACGCCTCTGAAATATTATTGGTGCGTATAGATGATCCGTATACTGATATAATCATTGCATTGCGAAGTAAAAGTTTCTTATATAATCTATGAATTTTGTAATTTTGCGCTGATTGAGTTCACTCTGTTGTTCAGTGTATACAGTTATAATAGTAATTGCTTCGTCAAATCGATATACCGGTAAAAGAGAAATAGCCCAAACTTTATGTAGTATATTTTTCGATGCTTCATTTCGAGGTAGGCGTAATTTTTTCCACATACGTGTAACAGCCTAAAAAAAATTAAAAAGTTTATTATAATAAAAATCTCAGAAAATTTCAAGTTAATCTATGTTTATATTCTTTTTTTTTTACCCTGATAAAATAGAATCAACATCCACGAATCCTGATTCTGTTGCCAAAAATTGTTCTTATCGATGAAATAATTGCCCTTTCATACACTGAAAAAAATAAACCGTTATTATTGATTGAGAATCTCGTGAATTATTACAGTTTTGTCCATCAGCAGTGCGCCCGTAAGGCCAAACTGTAATTTTTACATTAAAGCTCCAGTAAAATATTACAGTAGGACATATAGTAAAATATTTGACCTTGATAAATTTATAAATACATCTAGTAATATTTACGGTGGCAAACCGTAATTGCAGAAAGTTATTTTCGACTGCTCATTTAAAAGTAAATTTTACGGTTTACATATCAAAATTTACTTTAAAACAAGTATAATTTTATTTTAGCAATGTATATCTTACTGTTCATCTATATCATTTTTTCACGTATGGAATTGTATTCTAAATAAAAAAGAAGCTTTCAGTATACTTTTTGCTTAAATAATAATTAAATAAGTGTTTTGAAAATAAATACAAATTATTGAAACTTACATATCGTTCACTTATATTACTTGAAAAATGTTACAAGCGTCAGTTCCCAGGATAAAATAATCAGTCTCTGATCCCGAGTCTCTGAAACAGTCTCGCTTTTGGCACTGAGAGAGACTATAGTCTTGGAAATTTAAGTCTTTAAGAGAAAGACTATAGTCTTACAGATTTCAGTCTTCAGAAAAAACAACTACAGTCTCTAAAAGAGAAACTGTAGTCCCTGAGATTGGAGTCTTCAAGAGAAAGACTACAGTCTCATAGATTTCAGTCTTCAGGAAAAAGACTGCTGTCTCTTAGAAACAGATTATAGTTTCTTGAAGGATGATTTCGATTTTTTATAGTAAAAAAATTAATTTTTTCATTAAAAATAATTATAAATTTATTGAAATAGACGTTGAAAATTAGCATTACATACATAATGGTAACATGATTAACTTATAAGTCAGTAATAGTAGGACCATGATCATTATAAATGTTATTATTATCATAAACGCCACTATTGTTACTATTATTAATATTATTATTGTTAAAGGTATGATAGTTTCTATTATTAAAATTATAACTATTATCGTAATTATAATTGTACATAGGGGGGTGGCAATTCTCCGGATGATAATAAGGAGCTGGATGATAAGAGCTATTATTATAATACGAATTTGGTGGTATAGGATATGGATTATTGGGAAAATGATTGACTTCAGAAGATACTATTGGGAAGTGCTGAGATTGAGGAATTACTGATGATGACGGCTGAATATTTTCCTGGTTTTGAAGTGGTGGAGATAACTGAAGTTTTGAATTTTTCTGTACTGTTGAATCGTAATGCAATAAAACATCCTCATGGTCGCTTGACTCACTTGATGATTTTTTTGAAGAACTCTTTGCATTAATTTTTTTTGGTTTCTTTTTTTTTGTTGTTTTAATGTCTTTCTGATGTTTTCCATTCTCATTTTCTGTTATGTCCCGGCTTTCTTCAGGTTTCCCGTTATTTTTTTTCGTAATTGCATCTTTAGTGTTAAGTTGATTTCTGCCATCGTTGTCAGGAACTTTTTTGCGATCATGTGATGGCCGCAATGTCGAATTATCTTCATCGTCGCTTGAATCGTCGGATGAGTTTTCAGATGAACTGATCTGATTAACTTTTTTTTAAGGTTTTTCATCACTCTCAATTGATGATTTTCTTTTATTATTCTTTTTTATTGTTTCAATGCTTTTCTGATGTATATTATTTTCAGTTTCTATTTCTTCTTGGCCTTCTTCTGGTTTCCCGTTATTTTTCTTCATAATTCTACCTTCAGCGTTGAGTTGGTCTCTATTATCGCTATCAAAAATATTTTCGTGATCCTGTGATGGTCGCAATGTCGAATTCTCTTCATTGTTGCTTGAATCGTCTGATGAGTTTTCGAATGAACTTATTCGGTTAATTTTTTTTTAAGGTTTTTCATCGATTTTGATTGATGATTTTCTTTTGTTATTTTTTCTTATTTTTTTGGTGCTTCGTTGATGTTGTTTATTTGTAGTTTCTACTTCTTCTTGACTTTTTCCTACTTTCTTGTCACTTTTTTTTAAAACTCCATCTGCATTCTCAATTTTTCCTCTGAGTGACGAACACATTAAATTGATAACTCTATGATATTGTCCTGTAGATAATTTCACTTTTGTTTGACTTTCAACGTATTCTAGAAAAATAATAGTATATTGTAATATTATAACATTGATTCTACATGTCATTTGAACTCATAATGTCTTATATACCAACCTCTAACTGCCTTTCTAAGAGTTGGATCTATGCCTTCCCGAGCTTCACTACCTACAGCACACAATTGCGATAATGGTTTTTCACCTATGAAATACTTTAGAAGTCTTCGGACCATTTCCTTCGGATTTTTTTGAGTCATATCCGTTATAAATGTAAGGTCCGCTCCATGAATCCATACTCCGGATTTCTTGTTCAATTCAACCTACGATCGGAATATAAAATTAATCAATCATATGTATATAAAGTTGAGTAAACCAATAGATAGATACCAGCACGATGATAAACAGATTTTTAAAATTATGATAACAACAGTATTAAAATGTAATAGAATATATTTATCTTTTATGAGAGAAGCTGACAATTGAATTAAAAATTAAATCCTTTTAATTCAAATTAATTTTAACATGTCATAATTCTTTCATCGTTTATTTATCTCTGAAACCTAATTCTTTATTGTTTGTTATTTCATTTATTAAATGAAGAACGAAATTTACTTACCTTTCCAACACCGTATATTTTCCATGATGGGATGTTCTTGAAGTCTGACTGAACTTTTTCTTCATCTTTGTTCTCTTTTATTCCCTGTCCCAATAAATTTTTTTCCTGGTGGAGCTTCATAAAATTTATCATTTTCTCCATGAAAATAATCATTTCAGGTGTAACTGAAAAAACAAAATAAATTAATCCTATGTTCTCATAAATTATAACGGCTTATATTATTCTATATCCTTATCAGAATATAAAAAAAATTGTGCTTACCATTAGGGAATAATGAACATACTGCGCACACAGGGTTTGAAGTATTTTCATTAATATTGTCAGCTGTCTCTTTTTTTGTTTTGTCCTCTGAATCAATTTCAACTATTTGATCAGCTAGTTTTTTATTGAAGTTATCTTCAACACTCGATTGCCTTTTTCTAATTTCTCACTCATCTTTTAACGCGTTCACTGTCGATGGGTTCTGAGGCTTTTTCTTCGACGTCCCAGGCTTCGGGGGCATAATTTCACCATCAGTTGTAACATTTAATTTTTCTAAATAATCCTTTGACACTACATGAGATAATAGTTATTAATGAAATTTCCTGCTGCAAATGTTCTATCTATACAGCTTAAATATTGAGAGTATTTTTAGTATTTAAGATGCGCAGATACAAGAAGATGATAGTAACCCTCCACCAATCGAAATCATTTTTACGTAATTGTCCCAACTTCTGGCAATTTTTCTGCACTTGGTAATTTTACTTCACTTTTTACGTGTAAATCGTTCACACTTATAACCGATTTCTGTTTTGTTTTTGTCCAAAACACAAGAACAAACTTATTCATTATAAAAATCACACAATTCGTAGCAACACAACTGTCTTCTCGAAGGATTCTAGTTAAACTGAAATTGAGAAACATCCTTTTCTACATTTTGAGTAGAGTGGGGTATTGAAAATCATCTGAAGACACTAAAATTATATGACGGGAAATTCCATGTTTTTAAACATTGAATGTTTTGTAGCAAAAAATAGAAACATATCCGAAAAAATTTGTGTATTAATCCTATACAGGCTGGGTACCTTTGATATTTATAAGTTTAAAAATTAATTAGATGTACTGCGTGATTTGACCTTATACACATCCTTCAACTAAGAGTAGTTGATTCTTTAACTTTGAACTCTCTAGCCTATGAGAAACAAATTATACCTGACTCTATTCTTATAATATGATTTATACCTATGGTCCTTTGTTAATGAGAAATACTATTTAAGGATGCAATTTGCCATTTCGTGTAATAAACTACGATTATTGTCATTCCATAAGTTACCGATATTTGTTAGAGTAAGAACATGACTTTTCCTGGAAAAACTTATTGTAGTTACTATACATTATAGTAAGAATGAAGTATAGTAAAATTAAACTGGGATATTGCCATTTTAGTTCTACCCAAGTCAACTAGACACAGTTTGTTACTGTCGTGATCATCAATTCAGTCGCATTAAAAATTGTACCAGAATACATTCGCCATACAGCAGTTGATGTCATGCATTGCACATATTTAGGTGTAGTTAAAAGTTTATTAGTTTTGTGGTTCCAATCCAGTTTTTCGAATGAAAACTGGCCTTTGCATGAACATATGCATATACATGAACATATAGCAACTGTTAATAGAAATTTATATTGTATTACACCACCAGATTTTATTATACGATTGCCAAGATCAATTTCCGATCATTTGCCATATTTTAAAGCTTCAAAACTGAAGACATGGTTTTTCTACTATTCCTTACCGATTTTGCATTCAATTATAGACGAAATCTATTTTGAACATTACAAATTATTAGTTCATGCTATTTACCTTCTTAATCAGAAAAGTATTTCGAGTGAACAAGTTAATACGGCAGAAAAATTATTATCAGAATTTGTATCGCGTTTTTCTGATCTATATAGTATTCGACATATGACTGCTAATATTCATAATTTACTGCATTTAGCTGAAACAGTAAGAGATTTTGGTCCTTTGTGGGTAACTTCGTGCTTTTCATATGAAAACGCGAATGGTGATTTGAGAACATTAGTTACTGGTACAAGATTTGCTGAAACACAAATCTGTTCAGGAATTTCAACGTTTATGAACCTGCCTAACTTAAAAAATAAAATTCTTACTCGAAATACACCAGTCTATGAGTTTTGTAAGTATTTAAGTAAAAAAAAAGCAAAGTATAGATTGGAACATATTTCTGGTAGAATATATGCAGTCGGTGTGGCAAAAAAAATTGGTTCCGAAGCCCAAATAATTAATCCAACCATGCGGGAACAAAATATATCTTATACTGATATTGAAATATTCTTAAGATTGATAAAAAGTGGTATATTATATACATCTACATTATATGGCCGATTGAAAAAGACAAATTCTACATACGTAAAATTTACTTATAATAGACAGACATATTTTGGAAAAATTTATTGTTTTGTGAGAACATTGGATTGTTCGTGTGAAACTGTAAGCTGTACGAATAGTTGTAACTCAAAATGCTATGTTATTGTTTATGTTTGTAATGTAAATCCAGTTTTTCGTCCTATGGATGACATTGACTTTACTTATGTGTATGAATGTAATGATACTCAAAAAACCTTAGCTGTAGATGTAACAGATCTTATTTGTGTTTGTGTCCATGTTGATATTGGAATCAATGGTAAAAAATACATTATAGAACCTGTAAATATGATTGAAGTCGAATAAAAACTATAATTATAAAGTTTCACCAATCGACCCAATTACAATAACTTTCTAATGGGAAGTTAATAAAAATGAAAACAATAATCATCCGTTAACGATGTTCTTTTTTGACATTGGTTATATTACTAGAAACTATTATCAATGTAACCAA